GTATTCGGTTGACAATGAGTTTGATATGAAGTATCAACACAGATCTGCCAGCAATCATCACCTAATGTTCATGAGAAAAGTCCCTGAGCCAAGGCGCTCTGTTCAGCAGGCACTGAGAGCAGATGCCAGCAGAGATGACAAACCCCACAGGCTCACCTCCACCCAAAGAAACAAAGCAGGAGCATCAGCCCATTTTACACTGGTCACCGAAAAGCTGACAGGTGGTGCCAGCCTCGAGCTGCTGTTGAGACTTTAAACCACTGAACATCCCCCGGCCCCCCAGCCCAGCCCCACAGCCGGCTGAGGGCAGCGCTGGCCGGGCTCTGGCCGCACTGCAGCTCACGGTCAGCGTGCGGATCCTACAGCCCCAGCAAGCCTCTCCTCACACACACACAGGCACCGCTGGGGGTGCGGGGAAAGGGATGATCCCCAGAAGCATTTCTTTTGGCACGGTCAATCCTGTTCACAAGTGTCTCTCTCCTCTGCAAACCCGGGCCCAGGTCTCTCCTCCCCCCGCACTGAAGCACAGTGCAGCGGAACAGCAAGAACTGGAGCTGACTTACCCCTTCTGCACCAGTTCACCCCCGCAGCCCTGTGCTTAGGCTGCATTTTAATATGGATTCGATACAGCACAGACATCTTTATGACTGACTGGGAGTGCTGAACACAAAGCTGCAAGGTCAGGACGTGACATCTGGCTTTCCCTCATTCTTATCTTGAGAAGCCAAGAAGCTGCGAAAATGCACTTGAGGAAAAGGCAACTTAACAGACACAGCTCTAAACTGAGCGACTATGGGAAAAGTAACTCGGAAATAGATTCCAATGAGGGGATTACAAACCACTCTCCACTGCATTCTGAGTGCTCTCCATCTCAACCCCGGCTGCGTGTGCTTACAGCAGTGATGCAGGGACAGGCAGATGCCCTCGGTACAAACATTCACACCAGGGTAATTCAGGCTCCATCAGAACCCAGGTCCTGCTCTGTGAAGGCCCGGCCTGTGCTGCACAGAGGACGTGCTCATGGGAAGGGGATGCATCTCACGGCTTGTCCCTGCAGCACAGGGCAGAGCCTCACACACCATGCTCACGTGGCCTCAGAGAGAATTTAAACCCTCCACCAGAGAGCAAACACTCGGTAAACAACCCCTAACAAGGGCTAAACTGAAGACACACCACTAGGGTATGACCACCCAGTGAGACTTAATTAAATATGCCACTCATCGACTTCTTCTGTAAGCAATATCTGTACTGGTACATACAAACAGTAAGCGGAGAATCCCAAATTCTTACTGACAGACAATCTACAATGAAATGAAAACACTATGCCATCTTACAAATTGCAAGACTCTTATTAAAAAAACGAAAAAGCCTCACTGAAAAGAAGATGTAAATTTTTCAGAACTCTACTATTTCCAAACAAAAGCAGGGAAAAAAGCTTTTTTTTCCTCCCTGCCAGCCCGTGCTTTCTGCTTTTAGAGTTGCCAGACAAAATCAGTGAGACCCAAGTAATTTTGCAATGCACTTTTTTCCCTGGTTTTCTTCTAAATTTCCCAAGTATCTATAGCACGTTTTTAATATTTCTGAGCAAATATATCTATACTGAGGGCAACGAGGTGCACATACAACTGCTTGAATTTCACACTTGCAAATGCAAGTGTCTGCGGATGAGTTAGCACAGGAGACTGTCGCTCCCTGGTCTGTCTCCACAGACTGGCATAACATCAGGAACATCTGTACAATTGAATCTTACTGAACTGACTAGTTTTGCAAATAATGAGCAAAAAACAATACTCCACGGATGTGGGATGAACATTTCCATTTAAACATACACATAGTAATGTATTTCAAAGGCAAAATGTGATTATTTGCACAAAATACCTGTTCTCGAGAAAATACTAGCGGTTTAAATCTGAAGACAGAAAGGACTATTAATCTGCCTTCATTTATATTAATATATTAATTTTTTTTAACCCTGAAATAATTGGTTTCCAAATAACAGATGAAAATATCCTTAAAACTGTTTGTCAAAAAAAAAAAACCCAAAACAAAACAGATTCCATCGAAGTGTTCTGCAAAAACATCACTGCAACCCAACCCCACAGCCTGTTTCATCATCCAATCCAGCAGACTATGGTCCCAAATAATTTAAAAGACACAATCACATAATTATTACAACTGACAAGGTTCTTTTTTTTCCCCCTTGTCATAATAAATATTTTCAAGCATGTAGCACAACAGTGTATTTCAGGATCCCATCCGGAATGAGATGTTCAAAGGCATCTGCAGCTTGTTACTGTCAATGACGTTACACTGAGAAATCCTGACAGAACCATTACACAGTAATTGCAAGACTTGTTGATGGTCACCAGTGTTTTATGGAAACGTTTTTCTAAGGTGAAAAGGAAAGACTTAGTGTAATAATACTGAATTTTAGGTGGTTTTCCATCATATAATGCAATTATATATAATTAAGTTGGTTAGAGGAGTTCCACTGTATCTGATTTAAGAGTATATTGTGAATCCGGTTTCCCTAAGGTCCTTCTGTGAAGAACAGTGGGCTCCATCAGGGAGGAATTCAGGGCAGTAATCCAATGTAGATATTCTGAACTGTTTTACAGAGAAGCCTCTCTGTCTGCACCAACCATCGAGGAAAAATAGACTTCTAACACAAGAATCATGGTTGTGTGACTGAAGTTAGATGATGTGGATGCTCCTTGCCCTCAGAAATGCACATCTCTAAAATCAAAACACATTCTGAAATACGACTACTTATCCCTTTACTGATGAAACTGAAGACACATGTTGGAAAGCTGCGCCTCTACATCACACCTCACCTTCCCTGAAGAAGAAACCAACCGGTGTCAGCAGGTGGCATCCCCCTCCTGATAACCAGTACCAGCGGGATCCGCCACAACGGCAGGTACACAGCTCTGCCTCTGACACTGAGTAACTCAGCACCAGTTCACTCGCTCACTTGGGAGCCAGGATGGCAGTGGCCACATCAAACCCCACTTTCTCCTCCAAGCATGTAACCCACAACAAGTTCTCTACTACAGAAACATGTCTCTCACCAGTAACATCAGCAGAAATGCCATTCTCACCCCTTCTCAGGCTTTCTTCCTGCAGGTGAACTCGTACAGCATTACAGTTTTCACTGTTCACATGCCAGGTTGTGTCCCAGCACACAACCAGGCAGTGATTTTAACCTCTGAGCAGGTTAGAAGAGAATCCTCCAGCCCCTGTGACATCAATATCACTCCCAAGGGATGATGAGCACATTTCATGGAAAGCTCAGTCACCATCCTCACCAAATCCCAAACGCCCTGCTACAGGAGTCTCCTGCACAACTGCAGCCGAGACACTGGACTTGCTCTGCTTTACTGGAAAAGCTTTGGCATAAACAAAGAGCACACCATCCCCTATCCCAACAGTTCACACAACTTCTACTTTCTGTTTTTCCAACACTAATTCCACAGTGGCAATAGTAAAAGATGTTTCTGATGTAGGAACCCCCTTAGAGCTCTGTTCCACCAGCATTACACATCCCCACACCTGTGCTCTGTTCTTGCCAAAGCCATGCAAGACTCGTGTTAAAGCAGCTTCACTATTCTGCCAGGATGAACTGGTCTCCCTTCCTGAGGGGGCATAAGGAACTCAAAAACTTTTTCAATTTTTAAATAGTTGTGGGTTTGGTTTTTTTTAAATTAGTATTTCCAACAAGTTTTCACAAATCAAAGAGAACAACAGTGCAAACGTTTATGTTACTGGAGGACTGATGTGTACCAGTGCAGCCACCCCCAAAACTAAGCACCCCTGCTGCCTTCTGTGCCTCTAACCCAAGCGATCAGATTTAAAAGCTCTGCAATTTCAAAGACTTAGGTAAAAATCCTTGCTGAACCCCTGGTTTCTGTGTATTGCTCCTGACATTTCACAATGCCACCAGACAACTACATACCGCCCCAGAGATCACAGCTGCACAGGGAGTCACTCCCTGTGTCCCACAGCAGATTACTGGGCCAGTTCCAGTGACCAGAATCACAGCCACCTCCAGCACAAAAAAGGAGTGAGACATTCAATTAGATGAGAGGATTGCTTTTTGCTCTGCAGACTGAGGTTGAGAAGGGGGGAGGGAATCCCCATTATTGGCAGGTTTAAGTAAGCTGCACAGCCCTATCTTCCCTCACTACATTTTTGTTGTGACTACAGGATCTAAAAAGGTAGAATAATGGGGGGGGGGTGGGGG